TAAAGGCTTCTGTCATGTGCCAGATCAATAGTTCAGTTAGTAGGGTGTTTGCCTTGCATCTAGGTTTGTTTCCCAGTACCCCAAGCCCTCCAGGAGTGATCCCTAGCACAGAGCCAGGAGTAAGCCTGGAGCACCAGCAGGTGTGGTCTAAAAACCAATAAATAAATAAAAATAAAAGACTTGCATCAGGGAGTCTACTAGATTTGTTTCCAAAATATCTGTGTCTAGTGGACACCTGAGAATCCCATTTATTCTTTGCCATTTTGATTTCAGATTAAAACAGACCCAAGAATTTCCCCATTTGATAATTTGGGATTAGGAATTGTAGGATTATGGCAAAAATAATGTTAAAAAAAACAAGCATTTAAGGAATTCCACAGAACATGCTTCTGTAATAAGAAAAACAGTAAACAATTTTAGGAGCCACAATGGGGGCAGCACTTGCCTTGCATGCAGTTGGCCAGGTTCAAACCCTTGCACCCCATATGGTTCCCCAAACCCACTAAGAGTGAAACCTGAGTTCAGAGGGAAGAGTAAGCACTGAGCAATACCAGGTGTGGCCCAAAAGCCAAATATAAATAAATAATGGGCTGGAGCGATAGCACAGCGGGTAGGGCGTTCGCCTTACAGGCAGCCAACATGGCCGACCCGAGTTCGATTCCTCCGCCCCTCTCGGAGAGCCCGGCAAGCTACCGAGAGTATTCGATATGCCAGACACAGTAACAACAAAGTCTCCAATGGAGACGTTACCCGCTCGAGCAAATCGACGATCAATGGGAGGGCCTTTACTTTTACTTACTTACTTATTTATTTTTTTACTTTTTGAATCACACCAGCAATGCACAGGGGTTACTCCTGGCTCTGCACTCAGGAGTTACCCCTGGTGGTGCTCAGGGAACCATATGGGATGCTGGAAATCAAACCGAGGTCAGCCGCGTGCAATGCAAATGCCCTACCTGCCGTGCTATCACTCTGGTCCCAAATAAACACTTTTTAAAACAACAAAAGGAATCCCATTGAAACATGAATGAAAAATTTCAGATCATATACTGAGTGACAGCATCTCATAGCAAATTTCCTAAGATTAACAAGTTAAAAGCACACTCAATTTAGGTGCAATGGTTACATGGGGGGATAAACTGAAACTAAATTATAGAAATTCTTTTTTTTCTCTTTTTCTTTACATTTTATTGTATCACCATGAGACAGTTACAAGCTTTCATGTTTGGGTTACAATCACACAATAATCAAACCAGTGCATCCCTCCACCAGTGCACATTCCCCACCACCAATATCCCCGGTATCTCCCCCCCCCCCTTTCCCACCCTTCCCCTGCCTCCATGGAAGACAATATTCCCCATACTCTCTACTTTTGGGCATTATGGCTTCCAATATAGACACTGAGAGGTTATAATGTTTGGTCCTTTACCTACTTTCAGCACACACCTCCCATCCTGACCAATTCCTCCAGCCATCATTTTCTTAGTGATCCCTTCTCTATTCCAGCTGCCTTCTCCCCTTTGCTCATGAGACAGGCTTCCAGCAATGGAGCAATCTTCCTGTCCTGTATATCTACTATCCTTAGGTTTCAGCCTCAAGTTATGTTGTTGTTTCACCTCAAGTTATGCAGACTGTCTGCACTCATTTGTGGAGTATAAAACAACATAATAGACACAGACAGTCTTCTATGTCTGTCCCTTTCTTTCTGACTCATTTCACTTAGCATGATACTCTCCATGGAACTTTGCTTATAAATGGATAGAAATTCATTTTGGAAGCTTAATAATGAGATTCTAATTTTCAGATGGACTTTGTATAAATTTTTTATCCCATCTACTAAAATAACAGTGGTTCTTATTCACCATTTAGTCTACCTCTATGTTATGTAGCCAAATTTCTTTCATGGCTTAATCACTTAGTAAAAACAAATTGAGTCTAACTTAATTACCTAAGATCTTTATAAATATTTTTCTCTACTCCACTTATTTTTTTCTGGTGATTTTGTTTAAATACACAAGACTCTGGGAGAATGGTCTAAAATCTTGAAGAATATTTATTAAGATTTAGCTCTTCTCATAGTATTTGCACCTTCTTATACTCTTTTTACCATGGGTAGTATGTTCTTCCTAAATGCCAGTTTTCGATTAAATTTGTTTTCAAATTAAAGCAAGTATGTCCTTGGAATTCTTACAGTGGCATCTTGGTCAAGAAGATAGAAACACGAATCAGTTTCACTGCAAATCATGGGTAGCTTTAGAAAGGTGGGAAAACTTGGTCAAATGAGTTGCCTTGGAGAGTTTATAAGGAAACAGGCAAATAGTTGAAACAGAGACTTCACTTCATGGGGCAGGTTAGCAGCATTCCCTCTGCTCTGCTTCTGAAAAAGTTAATGAATATGTGGACTCATCTTCTGAGTTCTGCTAACCCAGAGGAAGCTGAATGTCAACATTTGGTGTAAGGTGACCCAATTGGATTAAATTACTATTTATCTCTCTATCTTTTCTGGTTCTTCAGGCAAGTTTGCTTTCATGACAAAATTAATGTAAAAGACCAACTAGCAACAGCACAACAGAGCTCTCATTTCAATCATTTTATTTATACACGAAATGTTCCTCTCTCATAAACTTGGTTCATGAAATTCACCAGTAAACAAATTCACTCTGCTCCCAACCTCGGTCATCAGAGACCTCTGGGAGTCACATTTGCACTAAGACAGCAGAATCAGAGTTTCTACTATAAAGAAACGCTTCTGCAGAGAGTCGAGAAGTCTGCCTCACTTTTCTTTTCATGAAAAAACTATATTTAAACTTGTGCACTGATTAAATTCTTTTTAAACTTTTCTTATCAAGGCAGCATAGTTTACAGTAGTATAGATGTTTTGGACACAACAATTTGATATTGTGCCACACATATCACCAAAGTGCCAATATCCTCCCACCGTTGATATGACTTTTAGGGAATATGAATATTCAGACAACTAGAGTAAAACCTCAATAGGTATTTTTTTTGATAACTCTATAGTCTTTATTTAGCCAACAACTTCTAGGTCTGAGACTTTTTTTTTTTTGCAAGGGGGCAGCTGGGAGTTGACTTTGGAGTCACACCTACTCATTCTAAGGGCTTACTCCTGGCTCTGCACTCAGGGATCACTATTAGCAGACTCACAGGGCCAGATGGGGTGCTGGGGATTGAATCCTGCCTGCCTATTCTCTCTGCCCCCTGTCGAGATCATTTAGGGATGTTATCACACACACTGTCCACTCTTCTAGCTGTGCCAAATTACACAAAGGCCACCCAGTCTTCTTCCTAGCCAGTGCTCCAAGGAGCCACAGCTCCAAACAGAGCTGATGTGGGATGGCACATTCACCTTCCTTCGACAGATTTCTAATTCACTGCATGTCCTGGGATCTATTCCTGTGGAAATCCTTTGGTTGCTTGGTTTTAATTTGGGGGCCACACCCAATGGTGCTCAGGGCTCACTTCTGGCTCTGTTCTCAAGGGTCATTCATGGTGGCCTTGAGGACCATATGGGGTCCTGGGGATCGGACCCAGGTCAGCTGTATGAAAGGTAATTGCTGTATGATCGCTCTGGCCCTATTCCTGTGCAGGTTCTGTTCCATCCACCAAGAGTCGTGGACACTTGACTTCAGCTGTGCACATGGGCAACCATGACTGCCTGATGCTGCCTCCTTCATGTCTGGCCAAGCAAGCTGCCTAACCACACACAGTCACAAGCAAAACATTGTGTGCAAAGCCACCCACGCCCCTTTCTGTTTTCTGCCTGGCCTTTTGATCTGAAGTAAACAGGATGATTTCTTTCAAAGTATTAATTTGCTGTTCCAGAATTAACGTAAGATTTTATTTTACAGTGGATAGGTTTGCCTTGTTCATGGCTGACCTGGGTTCAATTCCTCCATCCCTCTCGGAGAGCCCGGCAAGCTACCGAGAGTATCCCACCCGCATGGCAGAGCCTGGCAAGCTCCCAGTGCGTATTCAGTATGCCAAACACACAGTAACAAGTCTCACAATGGAGATGTTACTGGTGCCCACTCGAGCAAATTGATGAACAACAGGAGGACAGTGCTACAGTGCAGACAACTGATATGTGTGGGTCATCCTATTCTTTTTTATATAAGGGGCTGTATCCAGAATCACATGGAATTGTTGGCAATTCAATGTATGATCCTGTATTTGATGCCACTTTTCATCTACGAGGGCGAGAAAAAATATTAACATATATATATAGCTATATATATATACATATGTTAAGATTTTTTTAGAAGATGGATTAGACCATCTTTTAAAAAAAAACTTAAAAGTTTTTTAAAAACTTAAACCAGAGACATTGTACAAGGGTTAAGGTACTTGCCTAGCATGTGCCTATGGCCACAACCTTTGTTTGAATCCAGCACTACTTGGTCCCCTGAGCACCATGAGGAGTGGTCCCTGAGCACAGAGCCAGGTATAGTCCCTGAGCACTGTAAGGTGGTATCACTTCTCCCCAAAAAAATTCTTAAAAAAATCCATGAACTTTTATTGAACTCCTACTAGTCTCCCCAGCAAATATCCTTTTAGAGTTCATATGGGACTTGTGCCAAAAATTGGTATAGTTACAATCCTTTGCTTCTCTTTTTCATTGTACCCCCAAATCAAGTACCCAGTAATATCTGATTATTCCTTCTTCAAAACACTTCTGAAATTCACTCTTTAGCATTTCCACCACTATCACCTCAGGTAAGACACTTACCTGGCACAGTTATAATCCTAGAGCAGACACAAACATATAGACATTTTATGCATATGCTAATATATGTAAGTTCGTATCTATCATAAATACTCCCATGTATATAGATTCATATACATATTACTTCTTCAATACACATGTCAAGTATGTGCATCACGCATATAATATCAAAACAGAAGCATTTTGTATCTTTTTCACAGGTTACAAGTTTAAGGGTGAAAAGTTTCAGCAAGTATACATTTAATGCAAAACTTACCGGCTGGCCTCCCCACCATCTGTGATTAAATTTCTCTCGCCCTCGTAGATGAAAAGTGGCATCAAATACAGGATCATACATTGAATTGCCAACAATTCCATGTGATTCTGGATACAGCCCCTTATATAAAAATGAACTTATTGTTAGAACAAGAATAGGATGACCCACACATATCAGTTGTCTGCTAAATTTCTCCCCATGGGAGGTTTTATGGCAATATGTAATTTCTAAATTTACAGAAGGTATATAATCGCTGCATGTATCTCTATGAACAAATGTAAATGTTACATGTGGACTAATGATAAACCCTAAGAAACTTAGCATGGTTAGTTAAGAAATTTACTATGTGGACCTTGGTGGAGGGTATGATGTCGGAATGTTTTATGCATAAAAACCTGCCATTATAAATATTGTAAATCACAATGCTTAAAATAAAATGTTTTCAAAAAGAAATTTACTATTTGGGCTTTATAAACTCTTAAATTAATAAAATATGATAATAAAGCTTATAAAATAAATTTATATTCAGTTTTAATATTTATTTGTTGGGCTGGAGAGATAGCACAGTGGTAGGGCATTCGCCTTACAAGCGGCCAACATGGCCGACCCGAGTTCGATTCCTCCGCCCCTCTCGGAGAGCCCGGCAAGCTACCGAGAGTTTTCGATATGCCAGACACACTAACAACAAAGTCTCCAATGGAGACGTTACTGGGCCCGCTCGAGCAAATCGACGATCAACGGGAGGGCCTTTATTAATATTTATTTATGTGCTTCCCAAAACATTTCTATTAATAAATATACTTTTCTTTTTTCCTAAGTTCTGTTTCTACCACAAAACAAATAAGGCAAACATATTTGGGAGGGGGCGTTGTATGTTTGTTTTTGTTTTTGTTTGGGGGCCACAGCTGGTGGTGCTCAGGGCTTGCTCTTGGCACTGCAACTCAGAGCTATCCTTGGAGGGGCTTGAGGGACCAAATGTCAGGGGATTGAACCTGGGTTGAACATCTGCAACACAAATTCCCTATTCACTGTACTATCTCTCTGGCTTCAAATTATGTTATTTTATTTGGGGTTTCTTTTGGTTGTTATTGTTGTCTGTGCCAAACCCAGGAGCACTCAGGGATTACTTCTGACTCTATGGTCAGAGGTCACTTCTGGAAGGGTTCAGAGGACTATATGAGGTTCTGGGGATCAAACCCAGGTTGGCCACATGCAAGACGCATGCAACCCAGCCCCTGTACTATCACTCTGGATCCCCAAAATTATGTTTTGAAAAAATAACGGTAAAATTTGGAGGGTTGGAACATTAAAAATAGAAGTTATAAAGTCAAATTTTTGTTTAAAAATTTAGAAAATGATGACAGACCATTGGGTGTTTGAGAGAACTCTCAATTATATGTCCAGTCAGAACTACACATGAGAAGTTTCAGGTATGGAATCAGAGAGATAGTATCACAAGGAGGACACTTGTCTTGTACAGTCAACAGTCAACTCAGGCTCAAGTCATGGTACACATATGGTCTCCTCAAGCCCAACAGGAGTGATCCCTGAGTAAAGAGTCAGGAGTAATTCCTGAGTATGCCAACTATGACCCCAAACCAAGAAAAAAATAAATTTTAGTTTTCTTTTTTAACTCATGATCCTTTCTGAAGGTATATGGTATAGTGCCATGAAATATCAGGAGTAAAATTCAGAGACTGAATGGACTGGGGTTGACCCTTTGGATCACACCCCCAACTCCAAAAGCTTCAGTTTGGACACTGCAATGAAGGTCAGTGACATTCAAAGTTACAGGAGGCATGTTCTGTGAATAATGACTACTGAAAAAGAGGAAAGATTTTCTCTGAACAGTAAGAAAGAAAATCTCCCTTTTACATTATTTTTTGGATAAAACCAGCTTTTTGGTTCTGTATAATTTGGAACAAGAAAATACTTACGGTGGCCAGAGTGTACAAGTTAGGGAAGGTTTTTGTCGGGTACACAGGCCTCATGTAGGGAGAGTGTGTGCCACAGGACCCTGAAACAGAATTTCAGATGTGAGAACAAGACTAGCAATGGAATAATTTCCTGTGTGGAAATCCATGTCACTCATGTACTGGAAATAATAAAATATATCTCAAGCAATATGTACAGGGATCTCAAAACACGTAACTATGCAGTTACTGCAGGGACCATGGATGACAGCTGAGAACATAGTGGAGGAAAATGTCTTACTCAGCTTCTCAATATTGGGCATGACCTTGCTCCCTTTCTTCATGTACGATGCACGGAAACCATCCACAGAGAAGATGATTAATGGAGGGCGAGCAAACCTGCAAAAGAAAACATCTGCATTAAAAGAAATATGGCCACAATTTCCTATAAAGCTTGTCATTCCCAATAACCCAAAATTTCCAAGACGAAATTTCAGTGAGTGTACAAGCCTGGATTTGCAGCCACATTACATTTGGGGTAAGACAAGTCATGATCAAGGTCAAACACTGAACTCCATCCAGATCTCCTCAAGGTCCTCCTCCACAGATGCCCCGCAATTTGTCAACAAGACTTTTCACAACACGAAAGCAAACAACTAGTGGTCACCATATTGCCTGAATTTCCACAAAGTCATTCTGTTGCTTAGACTCATTCTCACATCTGAAATTTGTTCATGTGGGGAAACACCAATTCATTCTATAATACCCAAATCAAGAGTTTAGGATGCAACTTACGTGGTGGAGTGCAGGCCCCACTACACATCCATCCTCCCTGAGAACTGGCTATAGGGCTTCAGAAAAGCAGTAGACAAATAACATGCAAGTAAATTAAACCCAGAATGAAACTTTTCTATAATGTTAGCTTCTAATGCTTCTGAATTCTTTTATGATATTAATTCATGCCTCTCTTATTACTCATATACACATTTTTTTTTTATTAGTGAAACACCATGAGGTACAGTTATAGACTTACAAATTTTTGTGCTTGGGTTTCAGTTATACAATGATCAAGTACCCATCCCTCCACCAGCACTCATCCTCCACTACCACGGGTCCCAGCATCCCTCCCACCCCCCCACCACCACCCCATCCCACCCTGCCTCTGTGGCAGGGCATTCCCTTTTGTTCTCTCTCTCTCCTTTTGGGTCCTGTGGCTTGCAAGAGAGGCATTGAGTGGCAATCATGTTTGGTCTATAGTCTACTTTCAGCATGCTTCTCCCATCCTGGGAGGATCCTCCCAACACCCTTTATTTGGTGCTCCCTTCTCTATTGAGCTTCCTTTTTCCGTAGCACATGTGGCTGGCCTCCAAGTCATGGAGCAAAATTCCTGGAACTAATCTCGCCCACTCCTGAGTGTTAGTCTCCCATTTTGTTACTTTATGTTCCCCAGATGAATGCAATCTTTCTGTGTCTATCCCATTCTTTCTGACTCATTTCGCTTAACATACTTTCCATGTAGTACCACTTGTATGTAAATTTCATGACTTCATCTTTTCTAACAGCTACACAGTATTCCATTGTGTAAATGTACCAAAGTTTCTTTAACCAGTCATCTGTTCTCGGACACTCAGGTTTTTTTTCCAGATTCTGGCTATTGTAAAGAGTGCTACAATGAATAAACAAGTGTAGATGTCACTTCGACTATACTTTATCGTATTCTATCAAGATCAACATTGCAGTGAAGTTTCTCTTCCTCTAGGTTTATTTTTTTTAAAAAAATTTTCAAAGAACAGGGGCAGGAGCAATAGCACAGTGGGTAGGACGTCTGCCTTGCATGTGGCAGACACAGGTTCAATTCCCAGCATCCCATATGGTCTCCCCAGCACTGCCAGGAGAGATTCCTGAGTGCATGAACCAGGAGTAACTCCTGTGCATTGCTGGGTGTGACCCAAAAAAGCAAAAATAAATAAATAAATTTCAAAGAACAAGGGACCATAGTGATAGTACAGCAGGTCGGGTGTTTGCCTTGCACGTGACCCACCCAGGTTTGATCGCTGGCATCCATATGGTCCCCCAAGCCCTGCTACGAGTGATTCCTGAGCACAGAGCCAGAAGTAACCCCTGAGAATCACCAGATATGGACCAAAAAAAAAAAAAAAACAAAGAAAGAGAACAGTCTGTGTTTTATTTATCTTTCAAATTTGCGGGTAATTGTAAGGCTTGCGAAAATATTTATTCAATATATAAATGAATAAAAGAATGGCTATGAAATTAACAATGGTAGGATTTCTGTCACTGGTATTAAACACATTAAAATTTTTGTTTAATTATAAAATAACGGGTAGGTCGTTTGTCTTGCACGAGGCTGACCTGGGTTCAATTCCTCCATCCCTCTTGGAGAGCCCAGCAAGCTACCGAGAGTATCCCGCCTGCATGGCAGAGGCTGGCAAGATCTCCTTGGTATATTCGATATGCCAAAAATAGTAACAAGAAGTCTCACAATGAAGATATTACTGGTACCCACTTGAAGAAATTGATGAACAACAGAATCAATTATTGATTTGATAAACAATAGGTTGATAAAATAACTTCAAAAATAATTTAAGTTATTGAAGATATCTCCCAAACAATCTATCAATAAAGAATTAGAGTGTCAAACCAGGTCTGATTCTGATGAAAGTGGCTCTTTTTTTTTTTCATCAATAGGGCTATTTATTTAACCATGATTCTACAGAATGCCCCAGGAAATTGATCCATTCATAATAAATAATAACGTAAAAGTTGATTTGCTATCTATATTTTTGTTGTTTTTATAAAAGTTTATGAGATATATGCTTATATTTCATAGAGGAATTTTTAAATTTATTTTAAATTGAATCTCTGTGAGATACAGTTACAAAGTTTTCATGTTTGAGTTTCAGTCATACAATGATAGAACACCCATCCCTTCACCAGTGTATATTTTCCACCGCCAATGACCCCATTATCCCTCCCACCCATCCTACCCCTCCCCCTGCCTCTATGGCAGACAATTTCGCTCTTACTATCTCTCTCTACTTTTGGATATTATAGTTTGCAATACAAATCCTAAGAGGCCATCATGTTTGGTCCTTTATCTACTTTCAGCACACATCTCCCATCCCGAGTGATCCCTCCAACCATCATTGACTTAGTGATCCTTTCTCTATCCCCAGCTGTCTTTCCCCCCAGCTCATAAGGCAGGCTTCCAACCATGGAGCAATCTTCTTGGCCCTTGTCTCTACTGTCCTTGGGTTTTAGTCTCATATTATGATATTTTATATTCCATAAATGAGAGCAGTCATTCTATGTCTGTCCCTATCTTTTTGACTCCTTTCACTTAGCATGCATGAAATTTGCTTATAAGTGGATAGACCTGGAGAGCATCACGCTAAGTGAAAGTTCTCCTTTATTCCATTCCAAAGACTTGGTCAATCATTTGAAAATATTAAAATGTGTACCAAGTTACTTCTAAATATTTGAAGATATCTCAGCAAGTATAGCCTTGAGTTTGTTCAAGACTAAAAATTAAACAAGGTCTACTTTAAATGAGTCAAATACGTAAAACACTTAGAACAATACTATCTATATCAAAGTCCATTGTCGTCATTATTGTTTAGATTTATTTGGGAGGGGGAACCATCCATCTGTGCTCATGACTTAGTCTTGATTCTGTGCTCAAGGATCACTCCTGGTGGGGCTCAGGAGACCCTATGAGGTGCCAGGGACCAAACTTGGGTCAGCTGCATGCAAGACAGTACCATCAGCTGGACTATCTCTCTGGTCCCTTCATTACTATTTTTAAATAGGCGTTCTACCACATGGACTTATTTTTCCTCAAAAACACTGAATACATTTTAAAGAGCCAAAGACTACTGCTGTTCCATTCTAAGGTTTCAAAGAACTTCCAGAGGTCCATCAAAGTCGAAAAGGAGGTAAAAATGACAATATCCCAACACTTCGGTTTTATGTTCTGGACTGCATTGCACAAGAATACACTTGAACCAATTTATTCATGAAAACACATTAGTTGAGAATTTCTTTTCAGCAAGGCATTTTAAAGGTCTATGAATTTCCAACTGTTTCCTGGAAGGCGTAATCAGTGCCTTATGCTGGTCACACTTAAGCTGTGCGGTATCACTCAAGTTTGGCTTTACCCCAGCAACACAATGCGTCAGCGGTTTGTCAAGTTTCTACAGCATCTGGTAGAAGTTACCATCTTGGATGTCTTTTTGAGAAGTTCTGAAGGACCCCCATCCCTCCCCTCCAAAAGAACAAAACAGCTCTCCAGGGGGAAAAATACTGAAAAAGTTATTGCCAGAAATGTTTCTTTCCTTCTCTGTCATAGACTGTAAAATCTTTAGCTATTTTGGAATGCAGGGAATATGTTGTCTCTGATATATGCAGAGTTGATGGCAGGAGTTGGGGGGTAGCATTTTACTACTTCAAGATGTATATTCTAGCTTTTTTTTTATTTATTTATTTGGGTTTTTGTTTGTTTGCTGTTTTGAGGATACACCCAGCAGTGCTCAGGGCTCACTCCCGGCTCTGCTCTCAGGAATCACTCCTGGTGTGCTTAGAGGACCATATGGGGTGGCAGGGATTGAAACCAGATGGGCTGTGTGCAAGGCAAACACTACCAGCTATACTATCACTCCATCCTCACACATTCTAGCTTTTGAATAGTAAATGACTTGTATGTGCTCATAGGTTTGACCATACATGATAATTTTAGATTTCATGGTCTTTAACCATTATTTGCCTACCTATATCCAGTGATATTTCATCTATTCATATATAAAGCTTTATTATAGTCATACAATACACTTACCCAGCAGGGCATTCCGGGGTCTTGATTTCCTCACATTCATCATCTACCCAATGTGACTCTCCTATAAAGAAAAATATGTGGACACATTGTTAATACAAATTATCAATGCCATCAAGAACCTTGGAGAGCACAATTCCAAGATCCATGTCTTATTGAATACTAATTGTTTATCAGACATTTTCTAAAAAAAGTTTTTTTAATGAGGACAGTGTCTGGTCTGGCTTACAAAAATACACCCATAGAGGAAAGCTAAAGTTTAATAACCCCAAGTTGTGTTTATGGGAGCTTTCTGAGTCTAAATGGTTTGAGATAAAAAACACTAGTGGCGTCAGTGAACAAAATTTCATGTTTATTTCCATCCAGAAATAAACTTTTTGGTCATTAGACGGAACATTCTTTTCTCCACCACCGAACAGCAAAAAGCCATAGTGAGCTTAGCACAACTTCACCTCAGTTAGGGAAAAAGAATTAGAATACTGAGAGGTGATACTTGGAAGACTGCAATAGAGAAATTATTCACCATGAGGTCTCTGTACAGCTCTTGAATTTAGGAATAAAGGCAAATAATAGCTTTCACTTTTTTTGCCATCAAGATCTGTGCGCATAAGCCTACATCTTTTCTGAGTTAGTACCACTGAAAACAGAGAACAGAAAAGGACCCATATAAAATGAGACTTCCTCTGGAAAGAATAAAAATCATTAAAAAACACATTTGCCATAAATTGTTCTAAGACAAACAAAAATCACATGTCTTAAACATAAATGAAATTTGTGATCAATACCCTAGAGAAATTATCCTAAGGAAAGAGCATTAAAAATAACCTGTTTATAGGTCAGAGCAATAGAATAACAGGTAAGGCCCTTTCCTTGCACACAGCCAACTCAAGTTCAATCCCAGGCATCACGTACTGTCCCTTGAGCCTTGTGAGGGGTGATTCATGTGTGGAGAACCAGGAGTAAGCCATGAGCAACTCTGAGTACATCCCATCTCCCAATATATATATTTATATATGTATATGTGTATGTATATATACACACATAAGGCCACTAATGTTGCAAGCAGGAGGCCTGAATGATGTCTTGGCACAGCATGGTGCCAAAGTACTGTCGGAATAGCCTCACCCACCTTCCCAACCCCTCCATCCCTGCCAAAAATAAATGAGCTCAAAACAGCCCCCAAGCACTGCCAGGTGTGACCAAAAAAACAAAATAAGAAACCTAACTACTGATAACTGGATAAGATCTTTTAAATAGGAAGATTTACCTTACGTGCCACACTCAGGACACATACCTGGGTCTCACAAAAGTACCAGAGCCATTTTAAATCCCCAAAGCCCATGTTTTATGACTCCATGATCAGTGATATCTAGGTCTTACAATTTTTTCTTCTTATAACTTTTGTGGCTTATTACTATCTAGAATATATATGGACATAAAAGGGAAAAAGAAATAAATTCTGTTTATTTCTCAATTATATGCTTTATCAACAAAGATAATAATTGTATGGGTAGAAATTTTCCAATCTCAGGATAAATCTAACATTCTCTTGCCACAACTGAAGACACATTTCAGAATTTACTTTTTTCTATCAAATCTTAACAGAAATTCTTAAGAACAGAAATTCTTTAAGAAAGAAATTCTTTAAGAGCAGAAGTTCTTAAAGATTTCATGTTAGAGACAAAAAGGACTTACTGAGACACTAAAAATGACTTTTGAACCTAACCTAATGATTTTTCGATCATTCCATTAACTGCTATCTATAAGTGTGTGTCATGGAAAACTTAAACTCCTCAAAGAGTTTAAGGAGTAAGAAACTACATCTTTCCTATCTTTAACAGTCTAGCAACAATTATTCATCATGGAATCATAGAATCATATTCTACAATTATTGTACAGAGCCCACATACATATCCATGTATGGCTCTAGGCTAAAACAAGAGCTGTTGACACTTGACCCTCTTTCCCAGTGAGTAATCTTTAGCCACCATCGGCCCAGATGCTCACTAGTGACTCAGTTTACCACTAAAATTGCCTGGATATAAGAGGCATGCCCCTTGTCAAAAGGGTAAGAATTCTGGCATTTCCTTTCCAGAATCCACAGTGGAGCAGGACAAGGTGAGTCTACAGTTGAGATCTTGAGATCATGCCCCATTTGCCTTCCTTCCTTCCCAGCTTTCCTATTCTGCTCCCCTTGATTCTCCTGTTTCCTTACAGATTACTCCCGCAGTAAAGGGCCTTGGTCTAAAGACCAAGGCAGCTTAGTTTGATACTTCCTCATTAAAATGGTTCTAATTAGTGATAGGATTTGGAGGCTATTTCCTGACTATTTCAGATCACAGATATGTAAGGTAGCAAAACTAAGAAAGAAGCATGACATTAGAAACCAGAACACCATCCCTTTTCCTAAACCTATATCCAAGGCGTTTGAGCCCCATTGTCTAACATCTCTTGGAACAGTTCCTATTTTTAATCTCTTGGAGCAAAGATCCATCCAAGGAAGCACATACCTTTGCAAACCACTTGGTAATTAGTACAGCAGTCTCCCTTAGCCAAGCAGTCCTCCGAGCAGTGACAGGCGTGGTCTTCATTTCTTACTTCTCCACATCTGTCCTTTGTACATTCCCAGCCACCAGCTGAAAACATCACAAAAAAATACTTCCATTGATTCGCACAATCACTTGGAATGGTTGTGTTCCCACTTCCCAAATAGCTAGTATCTGACATTATCCCATCCACTTGTGAAATTAGACTTGACTTGAAGACTAGGTGACATCTGGATGATTTACAAAGAGAGATTCCTAAGTTTTCAAATCAAGATTTAAAGCCAAATATAACTGTGCTCCTTTGGAAAATGGAACCCTTATCACTGGTGAACTGTTCTAAAAGAGAAGTAAGATCAATGATACCTACAATTTGTGGTGGCATAACAATCTTTGGAGGTATTGTTACTAGGCCAAGATCTTTGTTTTCTTAAGTGGCTTTATTTCACTTTAATCAGTTTGATTTACTTACAAAATAATAATGCAATTGAACATAGTGGATCTATATTATACCTAGATGTTAAAGTTGTGAACAGAGATAAAGAGTATAAAGGAATATTAAAAATACTCATTGCTTTTAAACATTGATCAAAATGCGCTTCTACTTACAATGAGAAGTCAGAGTTATTTTCAAGGAGGCTAGTACCTGGGTTGCAGATCTCTTCATGAGCATATTTAATTAAAAGCTCATAGCTCAACCATAAAATGATGTACTTGAATAATATTTCACTTTCAACAGAGTTCTGCATTTCATAAAGCTTTTTCATCTATCACACTCTAAAGCTCTGTGACACAAAATCACATTTCTCTTTTCATCACTATACCTGCCATTGTTCCTGGAACATGCTTGATACTTTACAGTCATTAATTAAATATGGGCTGGAGTGATAGCAAAGCGGGTAGGATGTTTGCCTTGCATGCAGCCAACATGGCCGACCCGAGTTCGATCCCTCTACCCCTCTTGGAGAGCCCTGCAATCTACCAAGAGTATCTCACCCACAGGGCAAAGCCTGGAAAGCTACCCACGACGTATTCGATATGCCAAACACAGTAACAAGTTTCACAATGTTACTGGGCCCACTGGAGCAAATGAATGAACAACGGGAGGATAGTGATAGTGATAATTGAAAATACCATAATAAAATATTAATCTCTAAATTAAGAGCTGCTCATGATTTTTTTGTGCCAAGATTAACAAATTTTGAGGTGACTATGGTAAGTGGAATAAAAAAAGAAGGAAAGAATAATTATCAGATAGATGGTTACATTAATGTATGGACTAGGAATTACAAGAGTGGATGAAGTGGCAGGAAATCACAAAACTAAACTCAGTGTTAAACTATGGATGTAACCATAGGGCAAAAGGAGAGAGGTTGGAGGAATGAAAGTAGAGTCTTTTAGGTGATAGGAAAGCATGAGAACTATGGCGACTGGTGTGGTATTGCCTAAACAGTCTTCACAAAACAGAATCTCTGAAATTACATAATATTGTAAATCTGTGATAAACTGATAACTTTAAAAAGGATTATCAAATTAACTAGCTGTTGTGGCAATAAAATTAATCCAGGACTGCTGTGCTGATGAACTTTATTGTTCATTTATTTACTCTACAAAGTTTTCTCATGCTCTAGATGTGGGATGATCATGAAAAAAAGAATGACAAGGAGCTCACATTTTGATTGGGAAAAAAACAAGCCATAGACAGAAAATCAGTACATAAAACTGTGACAGCTTGTGCTAAGTGCTGTGAAGGAAACAGAAGCTGGGATATATCAACAGAATAGGCAGGAAATACAACTTACAGTGGGATGATTTAAACTGGTCTTTTGGGCCAGTGTAACAGTACAGCATGTAGGGCATTTGTCTTGCATGTAGCCAACATAGATTCTATCCCCAACACCACATCAGGTCCCCCCAAGCCCTACCAGGACTGATCCCTGAGCAGGAGTAAGCCCTGGGTACTTCCAGGTGTGCCCCCACTATCCATTTGGGAGCTAAAGGACACTTCAGATCTTTGTCTCCTAAATTGTGTCCTAAATGGAAGCTCTGGAAAGCTTATCCTCAAACCAGCTCCACCAGAAGATACTGAGGTGAACTAATGGGTAATGAGATACTGTTGCCATGCTTGAAAAGCACCCCAAAACAGTTTTATTTTCATTTTTAGAATTATCTTTGCATAATAATCCCATGCTCTGAGTTTTTAATGGTCAAAGCCTTCTCTTCCTATTAAGTGCTAAGAATTTTTATCTAAGACTGGCTATATCTAATGGTTATTGATTCTCCAAGATTGTTGGGACTGATACCAATCAAGGATGATGGTTCTTTTCCTTTAATTCACAAACAATTATGCTCATCAATATACTTTTGTTCCTCCCCTAATTCCATTAAGTAAAACCCTTTGTGTAGAGTATCACTACTGGATGTGACCCCTAACACCATCCCCCTTCACTGAAAAAATTACTAGCGGCAAACTACCATTTTTAAAGAACTGCTAGCTTCTTAAGGATCACATGAGAAATCAATAAACAAACAACAAAAATGGTCAGGATCCAGGGATATGGCTCCAGGGGCTAGAACGCATGCCTTCAGGAGCCAAGGATCAATCCCTTGCACAGTCTGGTTCCCTGGGCTCTGTGCCAGGTGCAGCATCGGCCATGTGTATTCCAACAACCAAAGGCAAACAACAAACATACAATCAAGGTTCAGAGTGACCTCCAAACCAAGTCAGGGTTAGTCCACTATATAATTTTCAAAGCAAGCATATGAAAAAGAAACAAAAAATAATTTAAATTACTGAATAATATGATGGTGACTTATCATATCAGGAAGAAAAAAAAAAGGACTAGACCAAGCAAATAGTATAGTGGGCAGGGTGCTTGACTTGCACAAGGCTGCCATTTGGACCCCAATCCTCACCAGAAGTAATTCCGAAGTATAAGAGTAAGCCCTGAGCACTGCTAAGTTTTGTCCAATAAAACAAAAAAATAGGGAAAAGGGACTCGTGTGTGTGTGTGTGTGTGTGTGCGCACGCGCGCGCGTGTATATGCATGTATGCACCTGTGTGTGCAGTACCATGGATCAAAACTAGGTTTCGTGTATTCAAAGTTGGTACAGTACCATTGGGCCACAATCTCTGGTACCCAGAAAATACTCTTTGAGATGAGAATGCTGGGCGACTGGAGAGATAGTACAGCAGGTAGGGCTCTTGCCTTGCACTCAGTCAACCTGGGTTTGATCCTCGTCACCCCATATGGTCCCCAAGCACCGCTAGGATTAATCCCTGAGTGCAAAGCAGGAGGAGTTAGCTTTGGCACTGCTGGGCATGGCCCCAAAAGCAAAATTTTTAATTAAAAAAGGAGAGAGAGAGAGAGAGAGAATGCTTAGAATATTTGTTTTTGCACATGCCCACTTCCAGCACCACACATAGGGTCCCCATAGCACTGCCAGGTGAGATTCCTGAGCATGAACCAAGGGTAAGCTCTGAACATAGCCTGTGTGACCCCCCCGAACAAAAAGAAAACAAAAATAAAACTATCAGACAAGAGAGAGAGCCCAATGGACCGAAGCAAGTGCTTCGCAAGCAGGAAGCCCAGTTTCAATCTCTGATACCACATGGCTCATTTAAACACCAAGTGGGTCAGAGCTATAGTCCAGTGGCAAGGGGTTTCGCCTTGTACACAGCCGACCCAGGTTCAATTCCCAGCATCCCATATGGTCCCCTGAGCACTCCAAGAGTAATTTCTGAGTGCAGAATCTGGAGTAACCCCTGAGCAATGCCAGGTGTGACCCAAAAAGCAAAAAATAAAAATATTTTAAAATTAAAAATAAACATCAAAAGAGTGACCCCTATGCACAGAGCAGAGAGAACTTGCCAGCAGGCAGCACCACTAAAAGCAATCCCTGAGCAACAAACCAGGAGTAGCCCCTAAGCACTTCTGGTTGTGCCTCAAAGAGAGAGAGGCAGACTAGGGTTTGGGGAGACAGCCCAAGGCTAGTACATATGCCATAGGTTCCATTTCTATGCCACCCTGTAGTCTCCTGAGCACTGTGCTGGGAATAGATCCTGAGTACCACTGTGGGTAGACGAAAACAAAGGAAAACAGAGAATCTAATGCTAAAACCAAAGTCAGCAGCCAAAGCAATAATAGAGTGGGTAGAGCATTTGCCTTGCACATGACTGACTGAGTTCAATCCCTGACATCCTATATAGTCCCCAGAGTAGCACCAGGAGTAATTCCTGAATACAGAGCCAGAAGTAAGCCCTGAGCATTGACAGGTGTGACCCAAAAAGCATTAAAAAAAAAAAGTGTGATAGACACCTATGACTCTTGAGGAAAATGTATAGTTCTGAAAACATAATGTTGTGTGTAACTGAAACCCAAGCACAAAAATTACAAGTCTATAACTGTACCTCATGGTGTTTCACTAATAAAAAAAAATTTAAAAATAAAAAAAAATTTTAAAAAAACAAAATGTTGTGATATGTATCTATAATTTTAGAATACAAATATATGCTCCGAGCCTCAAATATCACTCCAAAGAATTTTTGTAAGGAAAACTGAATAAAATTTTCAATGTTAAAACAAAAAATGAATATGCATGAAGAGTATTCACTACTGAGGAAAATATAAATGTTACTCAATTATTCAGTGGAGTAGGTTGTATCTGCCCAGTGGAATAGTATGTATTTAAAAAGATTATGTGCAAGAGATATATATAGAGATATACCTTCACATAAGCCTATATGATGTATATGGACATATACACACTCAAAAACATGCATATACATACTTACTAATAACCACATAGAGAGCAAATAGTCTGAGTTTATCCTGAAACAGTAATTTTCCTTATCTCCTTTCCTTATCTGAGTATTTGGGTCAGCATAGTCGAATTTCAAAGAGTTTGATTTCTTTTTCAATCTTTTATTTACATTTGAATTTCAATTGTTCCTCATCTGGCTTATGGTACTCTTGTATACAAGAAAATCAAGTACTTTTTTGTGGGGCGAGGGTGGCTTTTGGGGTCACACCCGGCGATGCACAGGGGTTACTCCTGGCTCATGTACTCAGGAATTACTCCTGGCAGTGTTCAGAGGACCATATGGAATGCTAGTAATCAAACCAGGGTCGGCCGCGTGCAAGGCAAACACCCTACTCACTATGCTATTGCTCTAGCCCCTCAATTACTTTAAAAGCATATTATAGCCTATGTTTGTTAAACCTGGGGAGATAGACATAAGCTATACTCAGAGCTCAGCTTGAATCAGAAGATCCATTAAACTTTGCAAGAACTTTAAGACCAGGAAGCCAAAGGACTGAGTTGATTTGTCAGGGACAAGACATCCAAGATAGACACAAAATGCTAGTAAGTTTTGCAGACTGCTGGTTTGAAATAATATTTTAGAAGCAAAGAACTCTGCTGGAACATCTGTTCTATTCATATATTCTGTCCACAAGGTTTTCTGCACTTAAGTCTGCAGACCAACAACTATATCTGGCAGAAGTTACAAAGGAAAATGACCAAAATGGTTTGGGAAAAAATAATATGCCAAGACAGTCTAATAAAATTCTTCTTAAAAGGGATGAAGTTTCATGGGGAACAAACAAAATGAACTACCTAGGGAGTAGATGTTGGTTTTTAAACAAATAACAGGATATTTCTTTAGTATCTAGTGATATAATTAGAATAATCAGAGTAGTAAGAATGATAATATGAGTTAAGTTTTCCAAAGTTCCCAGACAAGTAATAATTTTAGTCACAAGAACTATAGTTTCTGCATCTAGTGCTTTTAAGAACAGGTTTAGAGCCAGAGTGAGAGCAAAGCAGGTTGAGTGCTTGCCTTGCATGAGGTGGACACAGGTTTGATTTCCAGCATCCCATATGGTCCTCCTCAATCCACCAAGAGCGACCCTGAGTACAGAGCAGGAATAAACCCTAACCACTGTCAGAGGTGGTCCAAAAACAAAGAAAGAAGACGCGGTGGATTCGTGGAATCGATCATTATCTTTTTCAGAGTTTGAGTACGATATTGCCCAGAGGCCTGGTCAGTAACCTAAAAGGAATCTCCAAAGTGTGCCCCCATTTAAAAAAAATTGTGTTGGGCTTTGAGAACAGAACAGGTGGAAGAGCAAACATGCTTGAATTGCTTCCTATCAACTCATGGATATTCATTCTATATTGTTCCAGTATAAAAGTAATGTGGACCAGAGAAAACACAGTGGGTAAGACTTGCACTCAGCTGACCCAGGTTCAATTCTCTGGCATTGCATAAGGATCCCCCAGCACAGTCAGGAGTGATCCATGAGTACACCTGGGTATAGCCCCAAAACAAAAAACCAACCAAACAAAAAAATATATAGTGAAAAGGTAATGAAGACTATAAGAGAAGATAACAGATAAAAGATAGTGAGACCTCAAATAGGGTTCCAAAATAAATTTCACTCACAGGTAATAAGAAAGGACATCAGTGTAGACTAATAGTCATGGCTTGATACAATGAAATAAAGCAAATGCAAACAAGCAAAAGAAAATGGTTTTGTTGTAGTTCTTTATTTTGTTTTTAAACCATACCCATTTCAGCCCAAGCTTTACTCCTAGCTCTGTGCTCAGGGACCACTCCTGGTGAGGTATGGGGGACAATATGAGGTGCCAGGAATTGAACCCGGGGTGGCTAAGTATAAGACAAGAACCCTGCCTTTTGTACTTTGCTTTGGCCTGGAAAATTGTCAGTGAAAACAAAACATAGGAATGGAAAGATAGTACAGTGGGCGAGGCACATACCCTGCATACAGACAACTCAGCCTTGATTCCCAGCACACCCCATATGGTCTCCCAATTGCCATCAAGAGTGATCCCTGAAGAGAGAGCCAGGAGTAAACCCTCAATACCCTTGGTTATGGCCTAAAAAATAATCAAAACAAAACAAAAATCACAGCCCACTAATACTTTTAGAACGTGCACAATTTCAGCCCTTGTGCCTTAGCAGTAAGTGTGGGAAATGACAAAGATGGGGGAAGGGGGGACAGAGAAGAGCAATAATACTTGACAAACTAGTGAGTATACTCATCAAATGATCAAAATTTGTCAAGAAGCACAATAAAAATAAACAATTAGATGTGATTAAAGCAAGACCTAACACCAGACTACAATAGTGCGTGCATGTGTGTGTGTGTGTGTGTGTGTGTGTGTGTGGTGTGTGCGCATGCATGCATGCATGCACGCAGAGGGGTGAGATGGGGCAAGGGGGTCTTTCATCCATTTACTTGCCACTAGAGAGGACTCTGAAAGAACTTACCCGTCTTTAAACAGAGCTCGTCAAAGTCATGGCAACAACTGCTGTAGCTCTTACACAGGTTGTCACAGCGACAATCTGGGGGGCCATATTCTTGAAGCTCAAAGCATCTTCCCTTGCAAGACTCGGAAGTGTTGATCCAGGGAGAGTCTGATAACACTGCAAGACACAAGGGGCAAAGACAGTGGGCCTGGGAAGTGGGTGATGTCACCAGTGGAGAGGTGGCAGTGGGAAGCAGCACAGTATGGTGATGAAGGGTTCCCGGCTCCATCAGCTGCTAGCAATGTGACCTGGGAAGGTTACTCAATTTCACTGTGTCAGTTCTCCAATCTACAGTAGGAAAATTAATAAAAGTAACTTGGGAGTGATCGAGAATTAAATGAAGTCATCCACACAAAACCCTTAGGGTGTCAGACACACAGCTATGGAGACAAGTGTTATACCTTTAACTGTCATTTACAATGATTATTATTGCAGAGATGTGAGAGTATCTCTATAAGTGCCAACACAGAAATTTCATTTACACACTTAGAAACAAGAGTCTATTTCTCTCAATAAAATCCATAGCTTTCTGAATTTAAATCATTCTGAGAAATATTCAATCAGAAGATATGAGATCAGAATATTTCAAAATCTCTTCCAATGCAAAAATCTCTAGTTACCTAAACACAAATCCACAATCGCAGCTTCTCAAAAAAAACTCTTTTTAATCTCATGATATAACTGAATGTCTAGAGTTATCTGAATCAAGTTAATTTTTTTTAATTATTAAGATGAAACTTTTACTACTTTATGGTATAGAAACAATATAAGTTCAAAAGTTAATGGAAGTAATCATAGTATGTGAAGATATGAAATTGGATCCCTAAAACAGACATAGTCTTATAAATCAATGTTACTCCACTTAAAAAAAACTCTTTTAAAATTAAAAAATCTAAATTGTGTCTTGCCTTAGTGCTTACTGCTTTTTTCACAATGCCTACACAACCCAAATACACATTCACCAGTTTTCCGAGACCTGGTCACCCTACCTAACTATTCCGGTTGTCTCCTATGTCAACATTCAGAAGGATCTGACCTAGCTTTTGTTCTTGCCACAACAAGTGCCTGTTAAATCCATTCTGAACAACAGAGATATTAAAGGGACTTCTTTCTCCTATGGTATTGTGATTTAGCACTGGAAAACCTTCATGAAAATTTGGGGTCTATCCTTTATCCAGCCAAATCTACTGAAGGCAAATTTTAATCTAAGCACTGGATTCTTCCTATGTAAACAATGAAATTGTATTACACTCAGACACTCTGATTTGCTTCCATAGTTTGCACCGGCAGACCCTCAAATTAATGTTCTATATGAGTTCAAAGTAAAGGCCCTCCCGTTGATCATCGATTTGCTCGAGCGGGCCCAGTAACGTCTCCATTGGAGACTTTGTTGTTACTGTGTTTGGCATATCGAATACTCTCGGTAGCTTGCTGGGCTCTCCGAGAGGGGCGGAGGAATCGAACTCGGGTCAGCCATGTTGGCCGCTTGTAAGGCGAACGCCCTACCACTGTGCTATCACTCCAGCCCTCGGAGAGCCCGGCAAGCTACCTCGGAGAGCCCGGCAAGCTACCTCGGAGAGCCCGGCAAGCTACCGAGAGTATTCGATATGCCAGACACAGTAACAACAAAGTCTCCAATGGAGACGTTACTGGGCCCGCTCGAGCAAATCGACGATCAACGGGAGGGCCTTTACCTTTACCTTTATGAGTTCAAAACTGATTATGATATAAATGTTTTCCTAGTCGTGAGACAACACTCCTCGTTTGCAAGTCACACAAGTGTGATTTAAAGTAGTTTGGCTATGTCCCTTGTGCATTTCCTGATGGCCAGGAAAATAAACAAGTAGGCCACACTTAGGAATAACCTGGTAATGTAATCACAAATATCAAAATCAAGAGGTACTTTTGCAACCTCTTTTGTGACTCTAGCCTTACAGAAGTACACGGGAAACGGAGATTTGCAACAGTCCACAGTTAATTACAATTAATAGAAATGAGCAGCGGGTTCCAATCTGATGGGACATAGACTGCACTGACCTTGTACATAAATAATTCTAGTCACTTAAACTTTTGCATGAAAATAAGGTTTAAAAGGGGTTTCCGGTTTAATGGGAAAAGTGATGTAGACTTGGTTACCTGGCACCTTTCCTGACCAAGTATAGCAGTATCCTTCTCTGAATGTTATCCAAATCACATATCTGACCTCCCTCACTCAGAAAGGAGAACCATGTGCAGACACACACAACAAGGTGTCGGAGATGATTCACAAATGAATTGCAAGGTCAACTCACTAAGTACTTTTTAATTCAAGTTCGGGCAAGAAAAGAAAAGCAGTTCAAAACATGTCAAAGGTCTGAGCATGAGAACTGACTACCCCTGTGCAGTGCTAAGGAGTATAGCGAGCAGGAAACAGTAGTTGAACCTCTGTCCTTCCAAATCGCCATTGCCTTGGCATGCTGACTGCCCCCTAGAGTGAAAAGAGTACCAATACTGGGAACACTGCTGCAGACACTTGGTAACGTTACCATCTTAACAGTGTAAAATCTCAACTGTCAGACCAGAGAGATAGTACAGCGGTTAGGGCGTTTGCCTTGCATGCGCCGACCCGGGTTCAATTCCTGGCATCCCATATGGTACCCCAAGCACTTCCAGGAGTGATTTCTGAGTGCAGAGCCAAGAGTAACCACTGAGCATCGCTGGGTGTGAGCCCCCCATCCTTCCCACACCCAGAAAAAGGAAAAAAAAAAACTCAATTGTCTGCAAATCAACATTCTACTCCCATAAATCAGCACCGTTTAGCTGGACCTGGTCTCAGGCGTGAGAGACAGCTTCAGTGACAGAGAAGGTCAGGCTTAGATTTGTTCTTTTTCTGCTAATGCATCCATGTTCTCATCTGTCGTGTCATTTCCTTGCACTGATCTCTTACCTCCAACTTTTAACCCGTGCATTCTCTTCAAAATAATGGGCAAGATGAATTGTCTGTGCAATTTCATGTCATGTTTCAACAGGGACATTTCAACAAGACTAATCCCAACAGAAGTGCATAGGTACTACTACATGTATTCATTTTGGTTTGGGGCCACCCCAGGTGGTGTGCTCAGGGCTCACTCCTGACTCTGTGCTCAGGGATCACCACTGGTGGGCTCAGGGAACTCTATTTGGTGCTAGGAATAGAACACGGGTCGGCTGTGTGCAAGGGAAGTGCCCTACCCGCTGTATTATTGCTCCAGCCCCACATATGTACTACTTTAAACTGAGAATATACGGGCAAAGCAACAGCTGCTGGACAGTGAGAAGCTTCTCTCTACTTCCTTTGGCTGTGGAAAAAAAGACGGGCTGAGAATTCATCTGCCATCAACTGAGCCCCAAGAACATCTTCTCTGAGGGAGAAGCCTGACTCAGCAGCAGGACCTCCCAAGAAATTATGTCTGTAGGTAGGACCAGAACCTTTCAGACTTTCCCACTGAAGCCTTCCATCTGTCTCTGCGCTCCATTAGGCTGGTATATAAAGCTTCTCATGGCTTTTCATGAGCAACTACTCAAAGCATGCTTCCACATACACTCATTATCAATCTTTTTTCCAATGAATCTGCCTGTGAATTCTTAGATACTGCCCACTTCATTCGAACCTAAGTTGGTAGAGAAAAGTGTTGTTCCTCCTAATCATGCTTTCTAGACTTTGGCAGGTATGCTAGAACATGTTCAAATATAAAAAGGAATATGGAGATATAGATTTACTTATATGTATAAGAATCCTAGGTCTCTGTGAACAAGTTTTCTGGAAATCCTTTTGAAGCTTTTTTTACTCAATAAACTTTGGCATAATGTTAGTAGGACATGTGTGAATCCTACATGAAGAACTTTTTGAAATGCTACCACAAAAAATTCTTTTCAAAGACATGGAAGGACACAGGACCAAGGAAGTAAAAATGTCAACGCTATTAAAATAAACCTGGAGGTTCAATGCAATCTTAACAAAATTAGACAACGTTTTGGAAGTTATGAAACCATTAAAAATTTATCAAAATGGGCCTGAGGAATGTAGTTCAATAATACAGCACTGCTTTGCATGTATTGAAGCTCTAGGTTCAACTGCCAGGGTAGGAAACAAAATTACGGTCAAATAAAAATTTATTTTTACATTGTAACAAACCTGTTTAATTAGAGAAAGAATCAAGAATTAATGGTTCTCCAAGCACTTCTAGGAGTACATTTCTCCAGTAACACAGGTGTGGTAAAAAAAAAAAAATATATATATATATATATGAAAATATAAAAAGCTCAAATTTGTTATTTTCCTGCCAAGGGGGCAGACTGGGGGATGGTAGGAACCTCAAAATACTGGGAGTAGAACTTGTGTTTTAACACTGTATGCCTGAAACAATTCTACTATGAAAGGCTTTATAAGTCAACCGCTTGATCACTTGATCACTTGACTTCCCGTTAATCGTCAATTTGCTCGAGCGGGCACCAGTAACATCTCCATTTGTCCCTGTCGCGTGCTAGTGTAGCCCAATAACATCTGTTTGTCAGCCTCTTAATTAAAAATAATTAAAGAGCAAAATAATTTTAAGGGCTCAAAAGATATAGCATATTAGTGACAGAAACATATATTCTGAAGTTTAATATTAAAACAGTTTGATGCTAGAACATACACACATCTGTACTGGGTGGGGAACAAAATGAATGTAAAATTAGAATTTATAACATGGTAAAGTATTTAATCAGAAAACAATGAAGAAGTAACCAGCAAGTGAAAGTAGAATAAATTAGTATTTCATATAGAATAGTTAGTCAAATAACAAGTTAATTAAGCTTACAAAAACTCTCACCAAAAACAAAAATCATTTCCAAGAAATAAACATTTTATTTAAAAAAAACACAAGTTTGAAGATCAACATTTTAAGATATATGTGTGGGGTTGGAGCGATAGCACAGCAGGTAAGGCATTTGCCTTGCACGTGGCCGACCTGGGTTCGATTCCCAACATCCCATATGGTCCCCCACCGCTAGAAGAAGTAAGACCTCCCGCTGGGTCTGGCCCCCCACATCCCCGAAAAGAATGAGTCAGATCTGTCTAGGTTGATATGTAAAGTACTATGAAATACAGAAACAAA